AAATACAGAAATGATCTAATGAGCACCGGTGCTCATCTTATCCTAAACACCGATGAGTTGGCACATTAATTCATTGGTGGATAAAGATTTTGTGAGTTCCAATCCACCAATGAATTAATGTGCCAACTCATTGGTACTTAGGATAAGATGAGTACCGGTGCTCATTAGATCATTTCTGATATATATATATATATATATTGGAAGTGGAAATGGTCGTATTTACATTGAACATTGTCTAGGAACTTTAAAGGGTTGAGGACATGAGATACAACTGATTGAAATGTTTTGTACTTTCACCGCAACTTGTTTTAAAGGTTTGTGACTTCCGGTGTAATTGGTTCAAAAAGTTTTGGGGCTTCTTCTGCGACAACTGAAAAATATTTGGGACTGCCTCTGAGACTTATGCAATTTATTGGGGATATTAGCTGCACCATCATCTTAACATTTTTCTAACAAAATTTCCCTTCTATTTATGAATCATTCAGTCGCAGCAGAGGAGGAAAATATGAGAAACAAAACATCGAAGCACGGTTGATTAATAACATGTTTTTTTACTAGGAAATAAGTAAGAAGATAACAGAACATACGATTTTTCACTGTGAGACTCACATCACAACACAAAACCCCAACATCTTAGCTCATACCTAACCCAGATCCAGGTACAAACCCATTTCACTAAAACTACACAGCAAAGTTTTCCATGCTGTATGATCTCTTGAATGGAGGGTTTTTATCTCATGTTCCATATCCCTCCTAGCCCGTAAAAGTCCAGGAATCAGCTTTTTCGATCTCTCATACATTGACGGGTCAACACGTCTTTACGTCGTGGGCGGCTGATAAAACTTCTTCCTAGGTTCAAATTCGTCCATGAAGTTTTCATCTCCATAGGGAACCCACATCTACAGACATTCATTTCCATCTCCCCTCTGAAAAGCGTTTGCCAGTTATTGAAGGGAGAAAGAATATTATTATTCAACGATATGGAGGAAAATGTATAGTGATTTCAATAGTATCAAATGATTAATAGTGATTGGACGAAATTGCCCCTCTTTAAAATGATCAATATACCTGTTTTTTTAATTTTCCAAATCAATTGACGATGTTTAGGACAGTTTCTGTCCAGAGGACCCCAACTGCATATTTATGAAAGGTTAGGGTGAAGTCTGCAAAAAATGAAAAGGTTAGGGACTGCTGCTACAATTTTCCTTTTTTTTATTTATTACTTATTCCATTGAGGCCCATCTGAAAAATGGATTAGAATGGAAAAAACTCACATAAAGTCCAATTTAAAGGCATGCGTATCCAACTAACCCATGCCTGTTTATGTCCTATTCATAGCGCAAAGGGGGAAAGAGGTTTTAAGGTTTTCTTCCTCGTTATTAAGCTAAATTGGGGGAGAGGCAAAAAGGGGGACATATTCACCACCCCTGGCATCAATTTATCTTGTGTAGCAGTGATTTCTACTCAACTTCTTCGACAACAAAGTTGGAAGGTAGTATCGGATTTTTATTAGGGTAAAAACGGGCTTTATATGTTGAAATCGCACTCGATCGGATTGCTGTGAATGATTTAATTTCAGCTCAGCTCCTTATAATTTATTTATTTTTGCAAAATTATTGTTTCTTGATGGTAATCTCCCTCTAGCAACAGTGATTTTTTAAACAATATTTCTCTTGAATTTTTGATACGGTTGTTTATGATTTTGACCTTGCTTTAATTGACCGGCGGGATTATTCACTTTATAACTGGGGGCAGTTTCCCCAACTAGACCCCAGGTGGCTTCGCTCCCGTTTGAATTGTTTGCAAAATCATTTGAGCGTCTATATTCATGGTAAATTGTTTTAATGTAAATGTGTTTGTTTTAATTTGAATTCTATTGTAGTTGATGGGCTTAAAATTATATCAAAACACAAGTGCACAATATTAGATTAACTCTAAATTTATCAGCTCACACTGTCAAGAATATATCTTAAAAATAAATTTAAAATGGTTAAAGATAAAATGTGTTCATATTGCAAAAACTAAATTGACATCAAGTTATGTAATATTACATTCTTGCAACAGTCTTGTCATTACATTTATCATGAAAAAATCCATGTCTTCTAACTGGTGGTGATTGGAAAATTACAATAAGTTTTTAAAAATCTTTTAGAAGTTCTTTTGTTACAAGAAAAATGCATGCCTAGCTCTGTACTATCTGAGTTCTAATGCTGTTTTTGGTCATTTTTGTATTGTTATATATGTATAGTCTGTTATTTGATTTTTCCTTTACAAATTATAATGTGTACTTGATTCTTTAGGTATTTTTCTGATGAAATTTGTGATTTATGAATTTATATGGACAGTTATTTATTTATTTTTAAATTTCAGCCCCCTATCATATTGTTCTAGGTCTGCCTCTGTTTTCTGCAATTCCTTGATTCTGCAGCCATGGCTCGAAATGAAGAGAAAGCACAATCAATGCTTAACCGTTTTATTACAATGAAAGAGGAGGAGAAGAAAAAACCCAAAGAACGCCGTCCATTCTTAGCCTCGGAGTGCCGGGACTCGGCGGAGGCCGATAAGTGGCGCCAGCAAATCATGCGTGAAATAGGGCGGAAAGTGGCAGAAATACAAAACGAAGGACTTGGAGAACACCGGCTCAGGGATTTGAATGATGAGATCAATAAATTGATCCGGGAGAAGACGCATTGGGAAAGGCGGATAGTGGAGCTAGGTGGGCCTAATTACACGAGGCACTCGGCTAAGATGACTGATTTGGATGGGAACATTGTTGACGTTCCGAATCCTGGTGGTCGTGGCCCTGGGTATAGGTATTTTGGGGCTGCCAAGAAGTTGCCTGGTGTAAGGGAACTGTTTGAAAAGCCGCCTGAGCTGCGAAAGAGGCGGACAAGGTAATTATGTTACATTTGTGCTGTTTAATTGATATGGCTTGTTGTTAGAACAAATGTGTGTAGTTATCTCAGTATATTAAGTCTAGAATACATGTTTCTTTTTTCCCTTTGGTATTCAAGTTGGATTACAGGTTCATTTTGTGTATTTCCAATTCAAATATATATATTATATTTTATTATAATTTTTTTTTCTTTTTTTGGTATAGGGGTAAGTGGGTTTGGGAGCATGATAATGTGTAAGATGAAGTCAAATCTTGGAGAAATTGTATATGCTGAAACGACATTATTTTTATTTAATATTTATTCTTAGCATTGTAAATTTAATGTTATAAGTCAATTAGTTAATTTGTGTTTTCTGAAAGCTTAGACAATACTGTGTTTTCATGTGTATTTAGTTGGATTTGTTGAAGGTTGGGTTTTTGAAATAGCGTCTGGGCCAAGTATCTGAAATTATGAATATGCTATTTTATTTTTCCCTGTTCACAAGCATATAGAGTTTATGCATTCTGTATTCACACCTATTCCCTCAGATAAATGGCTTGGGTGGTACACGTAGGAAAAGAGGGAAGAGTAAGAAACATGCCCCTTTAGTAAATTTACTTATCAAAGCACCCTGGAAAGCTGAACCATCTTTGCTCGTTGTGTGAACATGACATGACTTAAGTCACTTTGCCAGTCTAGTGGGACAGGTCTCTCTTAAAGTGTTTGTATACGCCACTCTATTGGTGGCTTTGAAATACTTTCGTGTTCAGCTAACATCTTTTTAAACGTTTGGGATAACAGGCTTAGTTTTTTGTTGTTGCAGTTGAAAATAAAATTGTATTTATGGAACATGTTGATCTTACAATTTTAGTACTGTAACTAAATCTGATGAACTATTCATTTTTATTACATTTTCTGGTATGGACTGAGGGGTTTGGGTCTCTACACAATCTAGTTATCTATGTGGATGTTATGCTTTTCTTATCTGATTTTTTGGCTGTCTTTTGTAGGTATGATATCTACAAGAGGATAGATGCCAGCTATTATGGTTACCGGGATGACGAGGATGGGATATTAGAGAAATTGGAAGGGCCAGCAGAGGAGAAGATGAGGGCTGCTGCTGTGGCAGATTGGATGGAGATGG